GTGTGAGGTTCGAACTCCAGCAACCTGAGGCTGACAGCTTTGTGGAAGCAGCCACTTAAAGGCCTGAGCTAGGGCCAGGCCCCCTCCACTGACTTTTGATTCTGATTTCACCTCCACCATTACCACTTTTCATTTCTTGGCTGAGCATTTATTTTTGTTGCCCAGTTTCCTGTAATTTGTGCAATTGTGCCGCATGGCTTTCATTGAAGAATAAGGATGCAGTGCAAATACAGTAGCTGCTTTGTCATCTGTATGTAAACTTAATAACTGATTCAGCAGCTGCTCACCTATAGTCTGTAAGAGAAGAGACATTAGTGGTCACTTATCAGGATGCTTATGTGTTATCACCATAGTGATTTTGTGTGTGTGTGTGTGTGTGTGTGTGTGTGTGTATGTTAGGGAAGGGTCTAAAGGGTGTTCAAGGTCTCACTACTCAATCAGACTCCTAGTGATCCACCTGTTTATAACCTCTCAAGAACTGATATTATAGGTACACACCACCACACCCAGTCTCAATCATCTCAGCTCGCCCTGAGGGTGGATCTCAGTTCGCCCCAAGGGTGGAGCTGGCCCAGGATCAAACTCCAGGCCCCTGCCCTGTGTCTGCCTAAGCAGGCGCTTTAATCCACTGAGCTGTTTGGCCAGCCCCACCATAGTGACTGATGGCCTGAACAACTGCTAGTGAAGTTTGTAATTCAGCGGTTATAGCTATCATACCATTGTAATGTTGTAGTACTGGTGTTACTTATGACACAGTAACTGAAATTTATGCATATTAGAATCTGCAAAGCAAGAACAGTTATACTCAGTAGTTTGAACTTTTATGTCCTTTACTTATCTCAAAAGATGTTTCAAAGAAAACAGCCAACTGGAAACTTGAGAGTGGGGAATAAACCAAGATTCAGTTAAAAACTAACCTTTGTAATGGTGATACCAGCAACTTGGGAGCTGGGGCAGAAGAATCCAGTTTGAGCCCAGTCTAAGCAATTTAGCAGGACCGTGTCTCAAAATAGGGAAGAGATGCTTAGTGGTAGAGTGTTTGCCTAGCATGAGTGGAGACTGGATTTAATCCTCAGTACCACAAAGAAGGAAAAAATAAATTAGTGAAAGGAGTACTCTACAGTCTGTTTCAGCAAGGGATAATGTTTTTACAGTGTATGCAGCACACTTGGAGGAATTCAAAACATCTCTTTCATTTTCTAATTTAACCTCAAAGCAAGGCATGTGACACATGCCTGTAGACCCCACATTTGGGACATTGAGGTGAAAGAATCACTGTGAACTGAGGCCAGCCTACACTGCAGAGTGAGCTCAAAACCAGTGAGGACACACACACACCCCACAAACAAAAATCAGTGAGGATTGGGGCTGGGGAGATGGCTCAGTAGAATAAGTGCTTCCCTGGCAAGCACAAGGGCCTGAGTTATAAAATATAGCATTAGACACTTTGTATGCGGTTTTTTTGTAGTGGGAGGGAGAAGGATTTTTTTTTTTTTTTTTTTTTTTTAGACTCTCACTATGTAATTCAGACTGTCCTCAAACTCATAGTACTCATCCTGCCTCAGCCTCATGAGTGCTGGGATTACAAACATGAACCACCGCACATCCAGAACCGGGGATTGAACTCGGGCCCTTGCACTTGCCAGAGAAGCGCTTATTCCACTGAGCCATCTCCCCTGCCCCTCTTTTGCCTTTTTGTTGCACTAGGGGTTAAACCACATTCTTTTTTTTGGCATGCTCAGCCCACCTTGAGGGCAGGCTTGAGTGTCATGTGGTGCCGGGGATTGAACCCGGTTCCCCTGTGCCTGCCTAAACTTGCCTAAGTAGATGCTTGAGATTGCTGAGCTATCTTTCCAGCCCCCTTTTTTTTCTTTCTTTTCTTTTTTCTTTTTTTTTTTTTTTTTTCACATTCTTTTTTGAACCTGTGGAGAAGATTTGTGTATTCTTTTTATTTTTATTTTTTTTTAACATTTATTTATTTAGTGGGGGGGGGCAGCTCAGCCCACCAGGGGTCGGGGCTGGCTGGCATGTGGTGCTGGGGGATCGAACTGAGGTCCCTGTGCTTTGCCATGCTTGTTCCAAGTAGGCGCTTTAGACCACTGAACCATCTCGCCAGCCCCCAGATTTGAACGTTTTTTGTTTTTTTTTTTTGCCAGACCTGGGGATTGAACTCAGGCCCCAGCACTTGCCAGGCAAGCACTTATTTCACTGAGCCATCCTCCTGACTTGTGTATTTTTTTTAAATGTATTTATTACAGGGTCTTGCAACACAGATCAGACTCAGTGATCTTCCTGTTTTTCAGCCTCCCAGGCACTGGGATTGAACCCCAGTTGCTGTGTTGGCCTAAGCAGGCGCTTTAGTCTGCTGAGCTATCTGGCCGGCCCTTGTGGGGAAAATTCTTGAGGGCCTTCCACAGTATAACTTGGACCTAATTCACTACTTATCCACTAAATGTTCCTGTGATTCTCCATGATTCAGAGATGATATGCAGGAGCTTCCTATCTATATTAGTTATATGTCTTTCTCATGGCTTTTGATGTCTTTTATTATAATAACCATTTAAAATTTTCAGTTCTTGGGCCAGGGAGATGGCTCAATGGAATAAACACTTCCCTGGCAAGTGCAAGGGCCTGAGTTCAATCCCTAGTTCCGCAATAAATAAATAAATAAATAATAAATAAAAATTCTAGTTTCTGGGGTGGAGATGTGACCCAATGGCAGAACTCTTGTCTACCATCTCCAAGGCTCTGGGTTCAATCCCTAGCAGCAGGGAAAAAAAAAAGAGAGGAAAAAACACCACCACTATCATATACTACATCCTCTAAGAAATAGAAACATAGTATTCAGTTCTAAGTCTGGATACAAGTATACATTACCACACTTGGTCTAGGTGCATAGCCTTATTTCAGTGTAGTTTTATTTTTATTTATTTATTTTTTTGGCAGAACCGGGGATTGAACTCAGGCCCTTGCATTTGCCAGGCAAGTGCTTATTCTACTGAGCCATCTCCCTGGCCCCTGAATGTAGTTTTCTGACCATGATGGCACATACACATAAACGCATGCTTAAGAGGCTGAGATTGGAGGATCACAATGAGTTTAAGACCAATCTGGGCTCCCTAGTGAGTTCAAGTCCAGCTTAGACTGCATAGTGGACCTTGTCAAAAAAAACTGATGGGATAACTCAGCAGACTAAGCACCTTCTTTGACAAGCACAGACCAGGGTTCGATTCCCGGCCGCACTTGAATGCTGGCCCCATACCTGGGGGCATGCTGGCATATGCTTGTAGTCCCAGCACTGAGGAGGCTGAAAACAGGAGGATCACTAGGATTCTGAGCTGCGTAGTGAGACCCAGTATCAAACACATAAAATGAAAAAAAAAAAAAAAAATTGAGGTTCTCTTGCCTCGGCCTCCCACAGTGTTGGGACTACAAGCATATGTCACCATCCCCTGATCTTCCTGTTTTCTTTTTTAATTATTAGTAGTAGTATTAGTATTTCTGAGACAGGGTCTTGCTATGCAGTTCAGGCTGGCCATGAGCTCACTTTGTAGTACAGACTGGTCTTGAACGCACAATAAGCTTCCTGCTTCAGCCTCTTTTTTTTTTTTTTTTTTCCCATTTATGTGTTAGGTACAAGGTCTCACTATGCAGCTCCAGGCTGTTGGTGATCCTTCTGTTTTCAGCCTCCTTAGTGCTGGGATTATAGGCATGGGCCACCATAATCACACCCAGACTCGGTGGTTGGCATGGAATGTAGACCAGGAGATTGAACCCTGGTTCCTGAGCTTGCCAAAGCAGGCACTTAGTTCCCTGAAGCTATCTCACCAGTCCATGCCTCAGCCTCTTGAGGGCTGGGGTTACAAGTGTGTTGTCTTGAGACTGTTTATATAGTGAGGCTGGCCTTGAACACACTTTTTAGCCTGGGCTGGCCTTGAACTCGCTGTAACCTTCCTGCCTCAGCCTCCCAAGTGCTAGAGTCACAGGAGTATGCCACCACACCAGGCCTCTTCTTTTAACTTAGAGTTTTCCCAAATTTATCTTACTAATAACACAATTGTATGTTTCTCCTGTGTCAGTCTATCAGGTGTTTGAAAGTGTGGCCAAGAAGTACGACTTGATGAATGATATGATGAGTCTGGGCATCCATCGTGTCTGGAAAGACATGCTGCTATGGAAGATGAACCCGTTGCCTGGGACTCAATTGCTTGATGTTGCAGGAGGTACAGGTAATGTCCCATCCTTAGGTACCACTGCTGAGAGTGTTTATCTCTTGTTAGAACAAGCTACTTAGGGCTGGGGAGATAGCGCAGTAGAATAAGTGCTTGCTTGGCAAGCGCAAGGGCCTGAGTTCAATCCCTGGTTCTGAAAAAAAAAAAAAAAAGAAAGAAAGAAAAAGAAAAAGAAAAGGAAAGACAGAAAAAAAGTCAAAATAGAACAAGCTACTTGACCTATCATTAAGTTGAAGATATAATTTCTGAAACAGTTTACAAAATTATCAGTCAAAAGCAGCTTTGAACCAGGGAGATAGCTCAGTAGAATAAGCACTTGCCTGGCAAGCACAAGGGCCTGAATTCAATCCCCAGTTCTGAAAAAAACAAAAAAAACAACCAAACAAACAAGCAGCTTTGAGGGATGGGGATGTGGCTCAGTGATAGAGCACTTACCTAGCATGCACAGGCCCTGGATTTAATTTCCAGCATCACAATGTCAATAGACAAAACAACCAGATTTGTGTCTGCCTCTTTTCTTTTTTCTTACTTGTTTGTTTTGAGATGGGGGTCTGTGTAGTTCTGGCTGATCTCGAACTTTCTATGAAGCCCAGCCCAGCCTCAAACTCATAATCCTCCTGTCTCAGCCTCCTAAATTCTAGGATTATATACCTGGTTTCACCATGCATTTAAATTTTGTTGTTGTTGTTGTTAGTACAGGGGCCAGGGAGATGGCTCAGTGGAATAAGTGCTTGCCTGGCAAGTGCAAGGGCCTGAGTTCAATCCCTGGTTCCACAAAAAAAAAAAAAAAAAAAAAAATTTGTTAGTACATGTTTGCAATACATACTAATTACATTTATCATGGGGAGTGGTATAAACAATACCTAATTCTTTTTTTTATTTTTATTTTTTATTTATTTGTGTGTGTGTGGCCAGCTCAGCCCACCAGGGGGCGGGCTGGCTGGCATGTGGTGCTGGGGGATTGAACCTCGGTCCCTGTGCTTTGCTAAGCTTGTTCTAAGTAGGTGCTTTAGAACCTAGCATGCACAGGCCCTGGATTTAATTTCTCACCAGCCCCAACAATACCTAATTCTTGTTCCCCTCTCCTCCAACATGCATTTTAGGAACCTGAGACATTTTTCTCTCTAAATGCTGAGTTTGGAACAACTAACAAAAGACTGTACATAAACAATCTAACCTTTTTTTTTTTTTTTTTTCTGGTGGAACTGGGGATTGAACTCAGGCCCTTGCGCTTAGGCAAGCACTTATTCTACTGAGCCATCTCCCCGGCTCCTAACCTTTGACACTTGATATTATTAGCAGATTAGGTTGAAAAGGCTTCCTATAAAGTGTATGCAATGTAATAAAAGGATTCTCACTCAATAAGAAAGGACAAGTGAGTTGAAGGTTCAACAGAAGATGAAATAGATGGGAGGATAGCTCAGTGGTAGAAGTGACTGCCTAGCATGTTAGGTGGTGGGTTAATCTCTAGTGCCAGTGTCATTACCCACTGCCATCATCACCATCACCTCCAATACCAAAAAAAGTGTGAACAATTGATCTTTTTATTTTAAAATCATATTTTACAAAAAAAGTAGGCAAGCTAGGTATGGTGGTACGTGTCTGTAATCCCCGGTGTAGATTGCCATGAGGAAATTATTGGCAGAAATATGGTTGTTAAAGATGATTCTGGGGGCTGGTGAGATGGCTCAGTGGTCTAAAGCACCTACTTAGAACAAGCTAAGCCAAGCAAAGCACAGGGACTGCAGTTCAATCCCCCAGCACCACAAGCCAGCCCGCCCCGCCCCCTGGTGGGCTGAGCTGGCCACACACAAAAATAAATAAACAAATAATTTTGGGGCTGGTGAGATGGCTCAGTGGTCTAAAGCACCTACTTAGAACAAGCTAAGCAAAGCACAGGGACTGCGGTTCAATCCTCCAGCACCACATGCCAGCCAGCCCTGCCCCCTGGTGGGCTGAGCTGGCCACACACACACACACACACACACACACATAAATAAATAAAAAAAAAAAAAAAAGATGATTCTGGTGATGTCTGAGGAAGAAAAGAGAGTTGGAAAGGAAGCTTTTATTTATTTAGAGGCACACACTCTCATGAATGAGCGAGAATGTTGGTGCAAGTGTATACATTGAAGACCAGTCTGGTGTGGTCTCAGGAGCCAACAAGGTAGTTACTGGAAACTAGAGAAACAGTCATCCTCATGGCAAAGTGCCAAAGAACTTGGCTGAACTTTGTCGTAGTGTTGTTTTTTTTTTGTGTGTGTGGAATCGGGGATTGAACTCAGGCCCTTGCACTTGCCAGGCAAGTGCTTATTCCACTGAGCTATCTCCCCAGCCCCTGTCGTACTGTTTTGTGGAAGTTAAAATTTCTAATTTCAGTATAAACCCTGATATCTGGCTGAGAAAGTTTCTAAGGAAAGTGTTAAAACTGTGGCCTGGTTTCTCTTGACTGCTTAGCATAAAATATGACAGAAACTGAAGAAACTGTTCACCAAAAAGGAATTGGAACCTAAAAACTTGGAAAATTCTCTGTGTGTATTGCAGAAAGTAGCAGCTTATTCTGAAGAGAACACTTAAGGGAGTGCGTGAACATCCATTTGATGAAAAGCTCAGTTAGTGTAAGTCATCATCAGCTGCAGAGGTGGTTAGGAAGAGAGAAGAGATGATATTCCAGTGGAGACACTGCCAGATATGAGTAAAGGAACCAGAGAATACAGATCAAATGAAAATTGCTGAGGACTGGGGAGATAGCTCAGTGGTCTAAGCGGCTGCCTGGCAAGCGCAAGGACCTGGGTTCAGTACCTGGTACCGCATGCCATGCGAGCCCCCAAACCAGGCATGGTGGAGCACATCTATAATCTCAGAGCTGGCAAGGCAGAGGTAGGAGGATCACTACAAGTCCGAGCTGTGTAGCAAGACCCTGTACCCAATAAACAACAACAACAACAAAATGTATTTATCTGTATTTATTTTATTTTTTTGTATTTAGTACAGGGTCTATAGGGTCTACAGGGTTTCACTATGTAGATTGAACTCATAGTGATCCACCTGTGTTCAGCCTCCCAAGAGCTGGGATTACAGGTGCGTACCACCACACCCAGTCTCAGTTGCTGTCTCAGCATGCCCTGGGGGAGGGGCCAGCACAGCACACCCAAGATTGAACCCCAAATCAGCCACTGCACTCTGCCTAAACAGGTGCTTTAATCCACTGAGTTATTTGGCTGGCCCCTATTTATTTTATTATTTTTTTTTGTAAGTAAATACAATTTTTATTAAAAAAAAAAGCCTAGGAAAGAGGCTAAATGTACAATTATAGTGTAAACATCAAGTCAACCCAAGTATTGGCCCTTGGCTAACATGTACTAAATGCAACATATATATCTCTGCTAATGATATTAAAGAATTTAATAGTAAGTTTACAGAGCCGGTTATCTAAAGACCAATAAAAACATTTGTTGCTATTAAAGACATAGGGGGTTGTTCATGAAGAATGCAAGAAGAAAATTTTGAAACCTTAAAGTATATGAGGAAGAAAGAGTAGTGGGTCAAAGGATCCTACTGGAGTAGAGAAAGATACTTACAGAATTAAGGTCACCAGGAGTGGTGGCGCACAGCTGTAAGCCTAGCACTTGGGGCTGAGGCAGAGGGGTTTGAGGCAATTTATTTATTTTTGAGTCAGAGTCTCACTATGCAGTTCAGGCTGGCCTCAAACTCATGACAGTCCTCCTGCCTCAGCCTCCCAAGTGCTAGGATTACAGGCATTCACCACCACCTTAGCCTTTTGTTTATTTTGGTGAGTACCTCAAAAGACTTCCAACATCTACCAAAGCTTCTTACGTAAACATTTGTAATTATTTCTTATATCAGCATCCCACCTCTGGTACCAAAATCTTAGTAAACTACAACTGCCATAACAAATGACCACAGACTATGTAACTTATAAACAACAGAGGAGCTGGTGGGGGGAGGATACAGCTCACCACACAAGCACCTGCCGGGTAAGTGCAAGGTCCTGAATTCAATTCCTGGTACCAAAAAAAAAAGTGACTGTCTTGCTGTGTGTGATGGTATACCCCTGTCATCCCAGCACTCAGGAAGCTGAGGCAGGAGGATCCTTGTAAGTTCGAGACCAGCCTGGGCTACAAATTTAGCTGAAGGCCAGCCTGAACTGCATAGGGAGACCCTATCACAAAAAAGAACAAACAACCAAAACCCCCCAGAAATTAATTTTCTCATAGTTCTAGAGGTCAGAAGTCCAAGATCAAGATTCTAATTTGGTTCCTGGTGAGGGCTTTGTCTTCCTTGCTTGCAGGTGGCTTCCCTCTTCCTCTGTCCTCAGGTGAATGAGTATCAGCAGCAGCCTGGGTTGTAGGCAGCTGCACCGCATATCTGCAGACATGAGCAGTCTGATCTCCATGGGCAGTGACAGCCAGCTGCTCTGAGAGGTGAAATCTTACCAAATTTACTGGACCCATGTGGCCCCGATATTTGACAAGGCACTTCCCTGTCTCTATGCTCCACAGCAAAGCTGTGATCAGCAGACACAGCCCCAAGCACCACAGTCAGTGTCCCTACAATATTGACATCCCAGGTGCCCTGTGTGGGCAGTGTACTCCTTCACAGGCTGCCATGCAGCCCGTAATGTGGTGCTCTTACAGCTAGACGTGGTCTTACTGGTGGAAGACTAGTAAGTGGTCTTTAGTTTCTGAGATAGCTCACTGGTTCTGTGCCTAGCTTTTGCCTAGAGTTGGCCCTTACTCAGTTCTGCCTGTCAGTTGCTTGTCCTTCAGCAGCAGCTAAGTGCTCATTAAGAGTATCAATTTCTCTATGCAATTCTAACTTCAGTATAAAGGTTTTCAAGTTCTCTGTTTGATCAAACAGTCCCAGAAGTGTGCTGCAGACTGAGGGAGGCAAGTTTTTTTTAAATTTTTGTTCATTTGTTTTTAAATGTATTTGGTACAGGGTCTCACTATGCAGCTCAGACTCTTGATCCTCCTGTTTTCAGCCTCCCCAGTGCAGGGATTACAGGTTTGTATTACCATGCCCAGTGTCAGTAGCCAGCTCAGCACACCCATGCTGGGGATCAAACCCCAGTCTGTGCTAGCCTAAGCAGGTGCTTAGTCTGGTGAGCTATCTTACAAACCCTAAGGAAGCAGTTTAGAACCCTGTCCTAACATTTCTCTTGGGAGACCCGTCTCCTCCTGTTCTGAGCTATTAAATTTTTTTTTTTTTTTTTTGTATTTTAGGGAAGCTCTACAGGATGTTCAGGGTCTCACTACTAGATCATACTTGTAGTGATTTACCTATTTACAGCCTCCCAAGAGCTGGGATTACAGGCGCACGCCACCATGCCCAGTCTCTGAGCTATTAATTCTTCACATAAGAAGGCTCTGTGAGCAAGAGAAACTTCCAGTGGAGTGAAGAGACAGCCCACAATGTAGGGAAACATGTGTGCCAGCTGTTCTTCAGACAAAGGATTACTACCAAGAACATATAAGGAACTAAAAGGAAAAAAAAAAAAAAAAAAAAAACCAGCCCTCCCAGATATAAAGACCTAATCCAAAAATGAGCATCTGAGATGATTACACACTTCTCACATGAAGAAATACAAACAGCAAATAAGTATATGAAAAAATATCCAACATCACTGGGCATTGAAGAGATGCATATTAAAACAACACTGAGATACCATCCCACTGCAGATAAAATAGCTATTTTTTTTTCTTTTTTTTGCAGAACCGGGGATTGAACTCAGGCCCTTG